CAGGTCAGGTGCAGGCTTTATGCTCAACTGGAGACTGAGGACTTCACCTTTCCTCTGTAGCTGCCTCTCCTGTTCTGTGAACATGTGAAATATCTATCTTAGGGTACTAACTGGGCCCCATTGTATCTCATTTCATTTTTTTTCTTTGTAAACAAAGTTTTGTGTGTGTATGTATGTATACAGGTCTCTGTGCTTTATAAGGACTGTCAGAAATCTTAAGCCGCATATGAGAAGTGTTCCTGACAGATGTTTTTAGATTAACTATATTTGTAGATTATTATTTTTTTTAACCTTTGGACAGTTTTTTAACCTATTTGCAGGGAAGGCTGCCAGCGCATAACGTTGTATCTGGGACTCTCAGACCGTACCATATGCCTTAGCACAGCCCAGACCCTGTTCTTTCCCCATCTACAGGCCCAGGAGTCTATTGTTGCCTGATTTTCCCTTCATCTCTGCACAGATCTGCTTTCTTTAGCTGACTCCAGGCTCCTGGCCCTGGCTTTATTACAGCCTTAATTGCTTGCCTGTATTTTTTTCCTCTAGTTACTGTTTCATAGGATTCCCCTCCTAATAGCTTTTGTATCTGATCCAGCCTGACCGTGCAGAAGTTGAGGGCAGACAGGTTCCTGTTCCTTTTACAGCATGTGTTTTCTGTAAGGAACATAAAATTTCCAAGAAGTCTATTCAAGCGCGAACATGCATTCGCACTAGTGAAGTACCCCAGAATATCTTAATATGCTAGACTTTGAACAAGGGTAATCTCTTCCTTTACAGGTTTGTGTATCGTGTTAGCATAGTGTGGTGCTGATCTGTTGGCTAGTCCTTAGGGTCTATTGCAGGAAGAGGGAATAAATGAGAGAAGAACAAACTATTTTGTATTTATCTTCAGTCACAAAAGTGCACAGATACACTTACCTGAAGATACTTTTTGTCGAATGACTTTGATATATCGAAATAATTTGGCATTTGTAAGTTTGATTCAAAGAGCTGAAGAGTAGAAAAACCAGAAAAATGTTGAAAACATAAGTGCCAGTGAAGTTGTTAGATGTCAACATTCTTGTACTTTCTTTAAAATTTTAAATCTAATTGTCTGGGATTTTGGTATACAGTATATTAAGGGTTAAAGTGAGGTTTACAGTAGGGAGCAAGTTTTAACTTAATTGTGGAATAGTAATAACCATCTCGTATATATTTTTGGAAACGTCCATGTGGCATCGGACATATTGGCAGCCAGGACCTGGGCTCAGGAAAATACCTGCAGTGCTCTTAACTTGATGTACAGGATTAAATACCTTGCCTGTTCAAAAAAATCCCAACTGTATATTTCAGTGTCATTGAATGTTTAGTTGAAATGTCTGTCTTGTGGCATATAGAATACCCTGTAATAAGACAAACTGAAATGGTCCTTTCTATTAGAAGGGGGAGAACAAATAAAACCCCTGAATCTGAAATCAAAATCTGAAAATGTGAAATAGTTTTCAAATTCGTTGGGGTTTCCCCCTTTTGTAGTCTACGGTGCGCAAAAATACCGAACTTCTAATACTTGTGCACTGATAAACAGTGTTTGATCCACCGATTAACTTGAAAAAAAATGCCTTTTTACCTTGTAAATATGCCTTGTTCTCTCAAGAACAAATCTGCAAAATGAAAGTTCATATAAAAAATGGTAACTGTTTTAAAGCAATGCAAGCATGGTGCTTTATAAGATTTGTTGCTTTTCTGTCCTTCTAGATGGAAGAAGATAAGGGTTCAGTCAGCTCAGCATGTGACTTTGCTGAAAGCAGGCACAGAGGGGAGGACAATAGGCAACTGCTAGATCCATCTAGCCTACCCGACAGTTCTTACGTTCACTAGGTAGTACTCCCACTCTACCCTAATGTGTGTGTATATATATATTTATATATATCATATATAGACAGTCATGGAGCCATCTCCAAAATACCCATATTTTTGGTATCTACAAGAAATTTTGCATCATAGTATGTGGGTTTGATTTTTCCTTATCAAGCTGAATCATTCTTTTAATTCTGCACTTCAGTTGCTTTTTGGTTTATTACATGAAATGGGCCATTGTCATATCAAGTATTATGTTTATTGTGATCCTGGATCTTGCCTTATGAAAATACTTTATTTGCAGCCCAAATATGAATAATATCAGCTATTTCTCTGTACTTACTGATTTATTTTATTTTTAAACCATTGTCTCTATTGCCTTTTGTTTCCTGAGAGTTTGTTTCAGGTCTTCGGAGATCATTATGCTCTACTGCCTTACCATGCCAGGTTTTACTTTGATATAAAACTGTGATCATAATTATCCACACGGAGAGCAAAGTGAGGAAAGGGACTCTTTAGCATAATACAAGTATCTTCCTTTCAGGTGGTGGATATAAATATGAAAATCCATGTTCACTAAGCTGTGATAAACAATATATCTACACATAAAACTGAATTTATTTTTTATCATTAATACTCTCCCAGTATTACTTTACACTTGACTGTGAGTTGATAAAACGTAAATGTTGTTTCTAGGCTTAGGTCACATATGCTTTTTTTTAGAAAAGGGTAATACTAACTTTTCCATAAATTGTGGTTCAAGCATGATCCTAGCTTTTTATGAGTATCTAACTTGAGAAGAACATAGGAGATTATAGTGAAGAACAGACACCAATCCTCCAAAATCCAGAGCTGAGGGTTCACTCCTTGGAAGTTAGTTTGGGTTACTCTTGGTTCCTCTTTCTGCCAGTCTTTGGATAATATCTAGGACTGCTAGCCCTCAGGTCAGCAGATTGTAGGAGAAAAAATGTCTGATCCATTCGATCCTACATAAACCCACTGTAATATGACCTTTTCCGGTAACTTTAAAGGTGTTACTTGGTCTGCTTCAAGATAACAGATGAACTAAATATTCTTTTTGAAATCCTAAGTGTAGGAATGATGAGAGTTTGTTTTGTATTGCTGTGAACACAACCATGAAGACCTCTGCATATGCAGCAGGAGCTTGCTTTCTGACCTCCAAATAGGAGTTCCCTCTGCTCTGTGTAATTTCTTGTCTGGCACACTGGGAGTGCAGTATGAAGTGGCTGTGGAGGTCATATTTGCTAGTACTGCAACGCTGCAAATTGTGCTGTTCCTGTTTACAGTATCTTCTGTGACAGTACAACTGTGACCAGATGTGATGGTCATCAAATAAGGGTGTTCAGGGACTCAAGCTCTGCTCAGGTGTGGTGTGGTTTGGTTTGGTTTGAACTGAAACCCCTTTTAGACTTGTCAGTTGCAGTGGTCCTGCTCCTGTCTCAGGTATTTACAGAAGTTAGCTGTCACAGTAAGTGTTCGTTTTGTGTCCAGAAGACCTCCCAAACGAGTGTGAGTTAGTCAGAAGTGTACGTTCTGCCTGCACTCATTCACGGCAGCAACCAAATCAGGGGTTTGAGTTTGTAATTGCTTTCTGTAAGTTCATACAACTGTTAGCTGACAGTCCTGTCAGCATCACATTGAGGTGTGACGGGAAGATCTGGAGGGACCATGGGGAATGCGGAACAGAGCTGAGGAAGGGGCAGGCAGAGGAAAAAGTGCATGGAAACCAGTTCTGCCTGTGTGCTCCCTCCATGTCCTACCAGTTTGGATTTTTCTCTTGGATTTCCAAATGCCTCACGTTTCTGTTAGCTGCCTCTTCTTTGTAGTGTAGGAATTGTTCTGTTGTGAAGCTGTGAACTGTCCGGTTGCCTGTTTTGGTGGATTAGGAAGGAATGCGTCCACTCATAGTAGACCATTCTCACAGGAACCTCTGAGGTCCTTTGCTTTCCTTGTGGCGTTGGGCAAGTGTGGTGGCAAGAAACCAAGAAATTGGGGTTGGAAACCAAAGTCTTTAGACAACAGTCAGCGACCTTTGGTCACACAGAGAAAAGTGGGGGGAAGCTCTTAAGGGAGCTGTGTCCTGTCGTAGGCTAAGATGTCTCCTCCTAGATGCTTCATTCACTGATGTCTGAGAGTGAGGTGAGGATAATGGATGCTTAAACTTAGCCTGTGTGTTCAGCATTTGTTTGACAGGGTGCTCTCGTGGAGAGTTGCAAATTACATTAAAAAGCATCCCCACACTCCACATTTTTATTTCCTTTTTGGAAATGATACTGGAGTCAGTTTTGGATATTCTTTCTGCAGCAGTACTGGATTTCAATTGGGTTTTAGTTGTGCTGCGGTTGACTAGCATGCAAAAACAATGTAGAGGAGCATACTGATAGATGGCACTTAACTTAGACCCATACATCTCTTCTTTTGTTTTTTTCACCTACAAAGAATGAACAGTAGAAAGTTTACTATGCTAACATTGAATTATTCTTCATGCTGGCATGAACGTGACTGAACCTTTCTAACATCAGCCTTGTTTGCATGTAGATAAAAGATATTCACAAAATTGGGAATGTGCTTTTGTTCCTTGCCAAGCCAAGGGTATCTATGGTAGCGAGATAATGTAAATTATTTTGGGAAGCTGCATTCTCCACTTCTCGTGGAAAAATTATTACTTACGGTCAGGTTGCTGCATTGTATTCTGCAGCCCTAGTTTGAAGCTTTCTCTTGATAGGTTTCCCTTAAAGTAGGGCAGACCTGCAGCTGATATAAACTGTTGTCCCTCCACTGAGGTTTATCGAGGCATCACAGCTTAAACTGCATGACGCTGGGCTCCAGAGATTCATTATAGCTCTAACGCAGGGAATTGCTAACCAGTTTGTTTCCAACGTTAAGCAGAGACGGTGCTAAGCGATTTCCGTACCCTCACCAAGGCTGCATTCAAACCTTGGGAGGATCAAATTTTAGCGTATATAGACCTTAGGAAGGGAAATGGTCATGTTACTCATCACTGTAGTTCTCCTATAAAATTGAAAAATATTCAACACTCTAACTTTAAGAAAACCTGCTTTTCCTAAGTGTTTTCTGATAACATCTTCATTGCTAGAATCTGCATGCGAGTATTCTAATTTTATTTATTTATTTCCTCCTTCCAGCTTACTGAGGCAGGTTCAGGTATCAACTGCTTGGACTCCATGTGCTGCTTCTCAGATGGGGAAACAGCATGCACATCTGTTAGAAGAATGCTGGAACGACTAATGGGAAGATGTAGTCCAACCCGGGTCAACAGGTGTGGCATTTCTCTCAATAGCCTTTGCTGCAGACGATTCTCCTATAAACTGGAACCTGATGAGCCTGCAGCAATAGATGTCTAGCAAACCAGCTGCAGGTTTTGCTTATTTAAGTAGGAAATGCAACTCTCTACTGTACTTTTTTCATCCTAAAAGATTAGTTTCTTGTTTCTTTTTGAGTGCTTTCCTTTGGGATGGGGAGGGGGGAAAAACAGTTTTCAAAAGATTTCTGTTAAAACGTTTAGTTTGGCTTACTACACGTTCTTGTGTTGTATCTATCGTAATTTCTCTTGATTTGTACATTCTTCTCTTTAGAAAATTAAGCCTTGCTGCTGTTTCTGTTCTCCTTTTTTATTTTTTTTATTTTTGTTTGCCTTCACAAATCAGGAGTTTGTAAAGTCAAAAGACTTTTTCCCTCTTGGTTCTTGATGTACAACCTCCAAATACTTACCTTGGAGCTTGTATTACTCCTGAAGATATACAAAAGGCTCACACTCCCCCCCTTAAATATAACTTCATTGCTAGAAGGAGAGTCTTTAAATCTTTCAGCCATTGATTGATATGAAGATGAAATATTTTTGTAGTATAACTTTTATAATCGATTTCTAAAATCAGAGTAATTGACAGAACAGAGCCTTCAGGTTCTAAGGATTTTGAACTTTTTTCGGTTCTAGAAGGTATATTGTCAAAATCATGTGTGCCATTCCAAAGTATGTGCTAAATCTTTTTCCTTCACAAACCACGTGTGAAACAAACCTCAATGGATAAAAGCACGTTAGAGTAATCGACTACGTCTAAGGAGCAATACTGCTCTTGCAGTCAGTGTAACTGTGAGAAAAGCTCTTACTCAATGTGCTGATGTGCCATCTCCCCGCTTCCAATTAAACAGGGATAGCTAACAAGCATGGAAATATTTGGGGGTAGAAATAAAAATAGTCTTTTGTACATCATAATCGCTTGCTCCCTGAACGATACCATGGTCCTTGGTTGGTCAAAAGGCGCAAACCTGAAAAAGTGGCATTTCACGCGCTTTCAAGGAAACTCATTTTGTGTTTGAACAACTTTGTCTCTTTCGGTTAAAGGTTGTGATATCATTCATTCAGTATGAAATCTTGTGTGGGTGATTTTCACTGACAAGCTTTGTCAGTTCTGATTCTGCCTTTAGGTATTGACTTGCTCTGTAGGGCATCTCTGTTCAGAACTCTTGTGTTGAACACAGTGTCTGTGGTTTCAGTCAGTTTCTCTCTTCTGGCTTGCTTATGAAATTTATTCCACGATTCTACAAATCTAGGGTATGATTATGCAAAATGTTTCATTCCATATGAAAAATGAACTGTTATGATTAAATAAATTTTTAATTCAAACTCTTGCTGTATAGAAGGTGGGCATGATGTATAAAATAAACAATTTAATAGATTTTTTTAATCTACAAGGTGAGCATTTAATTGGTCTAAAATCAACATTTTGGTAGCAGTTGCTCTAAGTTTTATGGGGGTTTTTTCCACTTTTTTGTAAAACTGTGCTTTCCAAGTGAGAAACTTCTCATGCTACTTCTTTCATTTATTGTTACTGAATTGGGGCAGATTTTTAGTTAACATTTTCCTTAGTAATACGTAGTCTTATAAGGTAGGTATTCTGTGTTTTATTTTCTGCAACGCATTTACATTTTTACAGTTTCCTAATTTTTTCACTCAATTTTTCTTTCTTTAAAACTTACAAATACTTATTGAAGATAACTCATATTTGACAGAATATTAAACACTTTTTGAAGATTGCTTTTTCTCAGGTTTCTTGTCTGCTTACCTCTTGTAATTTTCAGATGACCTTCCATCTAGCCGAATAATTTTTAGAGTTGCTAGAACACAGAAGTTAGTATTATGCTAATGAATATGCAAAACTGTCGGTGCTACACTAAGGACTTGAAGTTCTGTAGTTTTGACTTCTGCCTCTGGTTGAAATTACTCTGAACCATCTTCTGGTTTCACTTAAATTTATGTATGGTACAACTAGAAAAGAAACTTTCTAAAATTTCAGTCTTATTTGCTTTCTTCAATTTCTTCTACTCAGCATTGACACTTAAAACCTAGTCTAAAAGTCCAAGTACTAAGACTATACTTTCCCCTACACTTTCCTGGTAATACGTGAAAGTCTTTGTTTATTTTTTAATGTACTAATTGCTTAAATCACATGAGGCAGTTACAAGTTGTGAGATGCTGAAGGTACAGTTAAGAAATCTATTTGGTGATTTAAAAATGCCTGTAAAATGGTTTAGCCTTTGTTTATGAGCTTGAGATGTTTTGATTTTCACCTAAAGCTGCTGCCTTCAGATTGCGCAGTCCCAAGCAGGATGGTCTTTTGAGTACTTGTGCTTTATAAAACAGCTTCTTGCTCAACCAGGAGGTAGCTGCAAATTATTTTTGTTGAATGAAGTGATGCTGATCAATACATTGTCTGTGAGAGTGCTGTAGAATGAAGGGCACTATTTTAAGTTAACATTGCTGTAGCTACTCTGTGTTGTATTCTGTACTCCTGGCACTCTGTCAAATATGATATTCTGTCAAATATGATAACTGAGCATGAAATCAAACAGGGTATGAAATTGAGAGAACTTTGGTGAATCAAAGTTGTACAAATGCTTGGAGTAGCGGGCCACAGGAATATAGTCTCTTGTACTTAATTTACTGCTTGTAAAATGTATTCAAGAAGTATTTTCTGTAGCTTCATTCACCAGTTAGAATATAAAATGTGTGGTGTGGTATGATAAAATGCATTTTTGTCTGTCTGTTCCATTAAATTGTCTGTCAACTCGTCAGTCATAAAATATTAGGAATGCTGGATCACACACATTTCTTGTACAATAGGATTCATCGCTGAATTGTTCAGGTCTCTCATTAGTGGTACCTGTGTCAAGGCGCTGCATGTAAAAGTTCTAAAGAAACAGCAGATTTCTGACAGAGGCAAATTTGGAGGATAAGTTCGTTACAGTTGGATTTCCTGCCTGCCATCCTTCTGGTTTTCAGCATTTCACATACAGTCCTATAATACTGTTCAACCAAGGATGGGATTCCTTCCTAACTAGAGAGGGACACTGCAAGATCCCCTCTAATCAAAAGCTGTGACGTGTTCGGTAGTTTTCCTGCTGCCTTGATTTTTAATTTAAATGTAACAGTCGAGGGATGAAATAGTCTTGGCTGTCGGTAAGTTTTGCTTTAGCCCGCAGGGCTGTTTAACACAAGAACGCCAGTACGCGGTTAGCTGGGTTTACTAGAGTGACCTTAGGCTGTCTCAGATCGTAGCATTCACAGGGCCTCACCTTACACATGCCACAGGCAGGTTTTCCTTGGGGCAAAATATTAAAATTTTACAACTTTATTTGTAAAACTGGCATATAAACCTCTGGTCATTTCAGTTCAAACTATCTGTAGCTGCGAGTAAACTTGGCCAGAAAGGGAAATGTGGCAGTGCTAGTTACGTAGTTGGCATGACTAACTGCAGTCTGTTTTCAAAGGCTTGAATGCATTGCAGGTGCCTACATGGAACTAATAGATCAGTCTTTTAAAGAGCTACACTTGCCTAATCTCGTAACACTCTTGCCTTTCACTTTCATAGACTTTTCTCCTCACCTCTAAATTATAAGTTCCCAGTCAGCCAAACTTTTCTTTTATTGTTACTTTAGATCATGGAGTTCATCGGATCCCTTCTATGCCAACGACAGAAGCATCTTGACTCTCTCCACAATGGACTCGCCCACTTGTTAACAGGGACATTTGTAAATGCCTTGTGGAAGCCATGTGGTGCTCACACACCTATAGTAGGTTCTGAAGAGAGTTCAGTGCTACATCCCTGCCCTAGAAAAGACTAGCATGACTTCTAAAAACAAACTGTGGCTTGTCTTGTGGCCAGGTGTCTCGACAGTAATTGCTTCCAGTATTTTTTTCTAATTATATCCACAGATTGCTGATTTTTTTTTTTTGAAGGAACGCATTTACTCTGACAATTTAATCTTTTTTTGTTGCCACATGAGCATATTGGAATCCTGCATTTGATACCCGAGACATCACTGTAGCACAGTGAGAAAATCTTTCTCCTCCCAAATTCAAGTGATCCTATGGAACTGAATTTGCACAATGAAACTTTAAAAAGTTGCATTTTTCATGATGACCCTTCACATTAAACACACAGATTAATTTTGAGCTGTTTCTTATAGAAGCTGTCTTAGCGGTTTGCAAATCAATTTTGGTATTTCCATGGACGGTTACTGTATTCTATAAGCAATCAGTTTAGTAATTTTAAATACAACTCAAATATTTATGCTGGTGTATGAATGGCAATATAGTCGTCATTGCATTGAAAACCAGTTATCTTTGACAAATCAATAATTTGGAATAATAAGGGATATAACAGTTCACTGTTCTCTTAGTGTATAATTCAGAAGCCAGGCATCTTTTCTAACGCCCTGTGTGTTTTGTTAACAGTTCTGATCCTGATGTGGAAAAATGTGTAAGAATTGGTAGATTGTGCAGAAGTCTCACTAGCATAATTTTTTTTAATATTAATCCTTTTAAAGTTGGGGAATTTTTGCATGGTTGTTTTTTTTTCATGTATTTATATTTGGTCATGTTGTACTTTAAAGATACAATTAATGCTTCATTATCTTTGCCTGTCTGAAGGATCTGAGGCATTGATGGCAATGTTTTGGTACCTAAGTATGCCAATAAAACCAAATTGCACAGATGGAACTTCGAATGGTACATCCTGCAGGTACAACTGTTGTCCCAGTAGAAATGTCTCTGCATGTTTGGGGCTGGGTAGCGACATTGGCCTGTTCGTTCAGCTGCGGCGACTAAAGCTATTGGTTGTGCTCAGCGGTGGGAGACGAAACGGAGGCACTGCCGCCAGGGACAGGGTAGGGCGTTGCCTTAGGTACGGCGCTTCTGTGGCTGGAGGCTGGTAAAAATGCTGCTGCTTCTGGACCCTTGTTGATACCCACTTTTAAGTCAGTCTCTGACACTGAAGCCCCATCGATAATTGGAATAGTCTTCCTGTCAGACAGTAAAAAAGATGTCAGGCTGCATATTAAAATGCCCTCTGGGTGGAATAAACTGAATTGAATGCAGACTGTAAATAACACCTACAAGAACTTCTTTAATAAAGATGTGCTTAAGCGTAGGCTTTGGACAAAAGCAGTATTAGCTGCTTTCACCTTGCCTGCACGAGTTTCCACTGTTGGCTTAAGTGCTCTCTCCCAAGGACATTCTATGGCGAATCCTTTTTATTTTGTAATTCAGGCAGACACGTCTTGCCCCCCTGGTATGACATCTCAGCGGGGCCTGGGCTGCTGCCAGAGGAGTGTATCCCTCATGTTACAGTCATCCCAAATTCTGCCGAGTTCAGGGAGCTGCAGGTCTAGAGGAGGTGTTCAAGAGGTCCAGCTTGCCTTGTATCATGTGTCGGATGTTCATGCCTGTAAACAGCTCCGCTCTTCGTTATTCTCGTTCATGACTTTAGCTGGTATTATTTAAGTTCTCCTTGTGGAACTTTTATCTTTGCATTAACGGCTGGAAGCCTCACGCTGAGCTGAAGGATGCAGATGCTGCGGGATTTTCAAGATCTCACTGTTGAAGGCAGCGTTAGTGCAGTAAAGACACTTCCCTGCAACCTCGTTTGGAAACCTGTAGTGACTTGAACATCCAGTACCTGAGGGCTTTTGTCCCACTGGTATAGGTGAAGACCAGTTCACAAGTTGATTAAGAATGGATTAAAATTAGTTACAAAACAGAAGAAACAAAATCAAAATATAGCTAATTTTCCTTTTAAATAAGTGTTTAGTTTGGTGTTCATAGTTCCTATCTCTATCATGCAGAAGAGCAGTGAAGCTTAAGCTTGAAAGTTTCAGCTGTACACTAGAGATCCCCTCCCTTGAGCGTCCAGATGATGAAGAATCACTGAAAACAGAGCCTTGCATACTCCGAGCGATAGGCATTACCCTGCGACTCGTCCGACTGCGTGCTGTTTGAAGCCCAGGTCCTGCGTGGGGGTACAATAAACTGAATGCTCACCTCTCCAGTCCCCAAGAAAACTTCTATCCAGATACACAGTCCTGAAAGACACTTGGGTTTCACCTACCCCTGTAACTTCCTTTATATATCATATATATATATAGTATTAAATCGGGTTTTAGAGTAATGATTTTCTTCTTGGTAGTTTCTCATTCTAGGTGTCTTCGTACTGCCATGGATACCTAGGAAACAAAGAATTTTCTGAAATACTCTAATCAGAGATCTGCTGTTTAGCTGTTATCTTCTGTGTCCAAACCACCGTGTTGCACTTTTCAGAAGTACGTGTTTGTCTGTGTCCACTGTAGCACTCTACTCATCGCGTCAGTTGGTGTGACCATGTAACCTCATCCGTCTGTGGCGGTAGTTGCCGTGTATCGAAATACAAACTGGCGTTAATTTTGTGCAGTAGAAGGCAGAGGCTTTGACACGCAGCCCCGCTCCAAGCATTTAGATTGGCTCAGCTCTGTACATACCTGTATTTTGGCTTTTACCACACAAATATGTTAATTGTATTTGCACAAAAGAAGCACGGTCCTATATTTGAAGAATAATTTGGATTCATTATGTGTTTCTTTAAAACCTTCCATCTCTTCTCCCTTTCCCCCTACTTTCCCTTTTCCCAGTGTTTGTAAGGTTACCGAAGAAACATGCATTTAAACAATTCAGGAAGGACTTAAGAATCCATCAGTCTGCCAAGGTATATTTTTCTATTTGCAGTAAATCTAAATAATTTCTCATTTAGTAAGAATGTAGAGTCGGTGTGCATAAGACCAGATTTTTTGGTCTGACACGTATTTTGGATGGAAGAAACGACTGTGGTTTTGTACCGATGTCACAAATCTTTTAAAATTGCTTCTGTTCAAGGAAGAAAGATTTTGTGTATTTCCTTGACAGTAAAGCGTGTGAAACCGGTCACTGTGCACTGGGCACAGTGTAGATTTCTTCGTGAAGAAGACTGAGCAAAATACAGCTAATTCAGTGTAACGCTAGCGTTCATCTCTCTGATTTGGGTGAGGGAGAATTTGCCATAGAGGGGAAATGTTTTAGAATTACCTCTTAGCCTTGAAATCCACAAGGTGTGCCAGAAAAGCCTACAGCAGAGGGTCGTAGTTAAAAGGAAGAGTGGTGTGTGGTCACTTTACTATGCAGTGTCTCTGAAGAAGCACCTTCTCCGTAGCCACGTTCAGAAGGGGTTCGAGTTCTCAGCAGATTTTAGTTCTTGTTCTGTGAAAAATAGGGTTTGGTTTTGTTAATGTAGAAAAACAGTTTTAGTTGCCAGAGTTTGCTTTTTAAAGGGTGCAGGGGAAAAGATTAAGTGGGAAGATGCTCTGAATTGTTTCACAAACTAAATGTAAATATTCTGCTTAAAATACTCTGTATATTTTTTAAGGTGGGGGGGACAAAAAATTTGCAAAGGAAGGTTAATGCTGGGAGCTTTGGCTTTACATTTTCAGACTGATTTCTTGTTTTCTAGTGCAAAAGATGATTTGAGAAAAGATGCAACTTAGAGTGCATATTAGGCAACTATAATTTCTTACTGGAAACCTTTGGTAATACTTTCAAACACATGTTTTTTAATGACAGTATAACTTCTATATTGGGGGAAAAAAAATCTCATTTTCTAGTGTTAGTAGAAAGGTCTCAAAGATGTAGTGTACATTATTTTTAATAGTTTTATCTGCACTTCTAAATATTAGTGATTTTGGTGAAATTCAGTGTTCAAAACTGCTCAATCATAACGTGCTTTGAACCACTGATTTTTGAGATTCTTGTTTTCTTTGTGTAGAAACCTGGTAACTCTGCCTTGTTACACAGACACCAGTGATTCAAAGGAGTTGTCCCTAGAGCTGGGCAAACTGTTCCTTGTGGGCTTTTTTTTTTTTTTCTCTGTTTCTAAATTGTTTCCCAGTTAGACTTGCTTCTTGGCAGATCTGGGGTTTTTTCTGTGAATATTTTTATTGGTGGTTGTTTTGTATGTTCTTTGCTTCTGTTGTTAGCTTCCAGTGGCATGATTTGTCTGGTTTCTGCTCTCTATGGGAATGACCCAATTTGTAACAGGAGGAGGACGGACGGGATGCTCGTGGCTGTACCGACTCTTGCTGTCAGTCGTCCTCGAAGCGCAGTTGCAGCGGTATTTGCAAGGCTTCTGCTTTCCGTAGATATTTTTTTTTCCCTTCAGCTAAATACTGCTCGTAGAGGCATCAGAAATGACGTGGTAGAGACACCTTGTGTGCTGCCCAAGCTTCTGTGGCTTTCGTTCAAAGGAATGTTCTCATCACTTTGAAGTTCTCGCCTTGCTCTAGCTGTTGCCACGCTATGATGTCGTATTACAATAAGTACGTACAATTGTCACCACTGTAGATGACGACTTTTTTTGTTGTTTCCAGTTTGTATAAATGCTTGGACATGAATAAAAGCTGAGAGGGGGTGGGGGTGAAAGACCTCTACACAAAACGTGAAGTGGAAGGAAATTAAATATGCTGCTATTTGTGACACAGTGTGACTTGGCCGAAAGAAACCCTGACGTACGCTGAACTGGCCTGTGCTGGGTATCGGTTTTTCCTCAGCTGTTTCAGAGGAAATTATTTCATATGTCAGGAGGTTCTCAACCTTTTTACATGTTGGCAAGGGGATAAAGGATAATCCATGGGGCATGGAGCTTAGAAAGGGGAAAATGGTTAAAAATGAGACTCCCTTTCAGGTATAAATAAGAAATCATTAGAATTCCTCGTTACAGTCAAATACATAAAAATAACAAATCATGTAGACTCCTGTTGTTTTCACTGAAGTGTGATCAAGTTCTGCTGCCTTTTTTTTTTTTTTTGAAGAAAAGAAACTTGACTGGTATCTCCACAAGAAGTACCTTTTAAAAGATTTTAGACAAATAAGGGGCATTGACAACTGGAAACTAGCAATAATTAGTCCAAAGAATTTTGGACCTCTGACACTGTGGCTGCCTCATGTTATTTTTGATTCTTGGACAGCGGGTCCGTGTGCTTGCTCATTGTACAGCTTGGTCAGTAGTTGTTGTTTTAAAAATGGTTTATGAAAATTATATTTATTAAATAAAACTTTCACTTCTAGCTGAGTCATTGTTTTAATTATTACATTTGGTTTAATTATTACATTATTGAGCACTGAGGCTGAAGAGGCAGGCACAGCTGGAGGACCTACACCCATGGGGATGGGCCCCTCCCCAGATCGCAGGCACGAGCCGATGTCTCGCTGCCATCTCTGGCTGGAGACAAGTGCAAACCAACCGCAGCCTCCTTGACACACACACCCCCCTGTAGAAGCGTGGGGCAGGGTCCCTCCAGCAGCTGAGCTCAGTCCATCTGCCCCATGTCTCCAGCTCACCCTGAGCTCTGCTGCTGGCAGAGAGCTTCATTCCCATTTCTTCAACAGCACCTCTAACCGGCTGCCACAGCCTTGTCCCTTCCCTCATCTCTCACCCTGTTCCTCAGCTGATTCCCATTCATCCTCCTGTCAGTTGTCCTTTGAACTCTTCAAGGGAGGAGGGCTTGGCATTTTGCACTCTGAAGACATAGAATTGAGTTCAGAAAGGAAAGGGTTGTCACTTCTTCTAAAAGAGTCAAATGAGAGTCAGTTAGGCAGCTTTTGTTAACTGAGAGCTTGAAGGGTACTGGAAGAACACCAGTTTCATTGTCCCGACTTGGGTTTGAGTTACAGGTGTCTAGTGTTTAAACTGTCAGGAGCAAAACTTAATGTTTACTCATTCAGATGCTAAACATGTTGGTACCAAACCAGTCAGCTAAGTATTACAAAGCTAAGGCCTAGTTCTGATGGCCAAGATTATAATTTAATGGTGTGGTCTGCTCTTTGAGAGCTCAGAGGACTGAATGGCACCATGGGTTTAAAAACCAAATGGCATCAGTGTACCATACTCAAATAAAAATCTACAGAGACTTCTGGCAACATGATTTAAATAAAGCGTGAATGACAAAAGTTTATTAAATGCATTCTTAAAAAACTATATCTTTCTTAAATAAGGATTTCTCAGCATGGATTTCATTGTAAAACAGTTCTGAAGCAAGTCATAAGTTACTTATTAACAGGTTGAGCAATAAAAAAAAGTCACATCTGTAGGGCAGTCTTCACCCCTACTGAAACAACCGCACTGTGTGTGGTGTCCTCCTTCACATGCCTGGGAAAGATCAGCTCCATGGTGCAGCTGTAAACACTTAGAATCAGCTGTAGGCAAGGTGTTAGAGCAGTTCTTAGGTTATTTTTTTTCCCCAAAAAAAGAGACTTACCAATAAAGCATATTTTATGCAGAAGACAAGTATTCCATACTTTTTTTTCCCCCCCTGCTTAAAAGCACATTCTAGAAATAAGTCTTACAAATAATACACTGAAACAATGCATGAGAAGACTTAGTCATGGCAATTTCACTGGAGCTTTATTGCCTCTGTTGGTAATGAGAGGGATTGTAAGAAGTTACATTTGAACTTACAGAGATATGTAAAGGATGGTTTTTTACTAAATATAATCTTGAGATTAAATGTTTTATATCAGGGCACTTCTAATTTTGTACATATTTAATGTATAAAAACAGGTTACAAACTTGATGTTCGCCGCCTTTTTTTCCCTTGACATTTGGCAAAATTAAACTGATCCATTGAAGGGGAGATCATCAAATTGAAGACATAAGCACTTACGAATTAAAGCAATCCAAGTAAGCAACTGTCTGCATTCTTAAAGAAAAACCACACAAATATATAAAGGAAAACACACATGGCCACATCTGAGCACGTTTCAATACAAAATATTCCCTGTAACCAGGCATTTTGTCCTTAGAACAACACCCTGTTAAATCAATGCTTCTTTCAACTTCAGTCACTCGTTTTGAAAAACTTTTAAGATGCCATCATAGCACAAATAACCCTTTTCTGCAACATAATTAGTCAAAGATTTATGTATTTCTTTATAATTACACAGTAATTATAAGCGTGTAGTACCAAACTGATGACAACACTATCTTGTTGAAAAGATCTTGCATTCAAAAGGAATATTCTTTAAAATGCCACGGCATTACGCCACTACCCAATCTCAGACTTTTCTGAGGGATGAGTCTGTATTGGGATAAAAAGCAAGTCAGTTCTCCTCTCCAAACACAGCATACTTGAACTAATCAATCTGAAACTGTACCAAAACCCTCAAGACAGAAAACAGCACACATAGATACCTTGCAGAGCTTTTTTCCACTGCCCCCCCGCCCCCCATAATTTCAAGTCCCCATTTATATTTACACAGAATTGAGAAAGGAAATACTGAAAGCAGCAAAACACACGTTTTTTGGCATAGCCAATTCCAGTAGCTGGAGAAAGTCTGCAATGTTTTCGTAGTCTTGAAATCGATGCGCAACTGGACTTTCTTAAAAGGGCACTGCTGTAAGAGGAGCTAGCCCTACGGTCACCTTCACAGAGTACAAAGAAAAATTTTTTAGCAGTCTAATAGTCAATTTTTTCCTAAAATACTTTTAGCATCTGCATAAGAGTGTTCTGGTATTTAGTGCAAGTACCAATTACTCATTTCAAAAATAATTCTGGCCTTACGGCACTATTGAGAGCACGGACTTAAACCTCTATCCTTACTTGTCACTACAGTCTTTCTTTTCTCCTGGAGCTTGGTATTTTCCAGCTTGTTCTGCAGAGCAGTATTTGTCACGCCTCTTCACAAGTAGCTAAGTGAGGAGTAAAAGACCATGTTTAGCACAAAAGTGGCTCAAGAGCTCTTCTAATATTAAAAATAAAGAAGAATTGCATCTGATAAAACCTGCTTTGAACAAAAACTTTAGTTAAATGCAGTAAGACAGTAAGAAGTAGTGATGATCAACAAAATAATTTAAGCAAACAAAGCCAGTGTAGTATTTTGTATCTGATCTGTGCTTGTTTGGGAAAGCTTTACTCCTAATTTCTGTATTTGGCAACCACAGTGATATGTCAATTCAAGGAAAACTCAACAAGAGACGTAAAAAATGGGTGTCGTTCATAATGGCAGTACCTCTACGTTATAAAGAGTTAACTTACTTCTCAGGATAATGGTTTCAAAACCTAGCTTCACATCAAACTCACCAGCTTCTTGTACAACAGGGCCATTTTTTTTCATCATACCTCAACCATAAAAATTACATGTCTCGATTTAAAATACTGTATTGTGTAGCAAACATTTAAGACACAAATTCAGTATATTCAAGTTTTAGATTTCCACAGAAATGAAAAACCTTTTTGACAGACAGATAAGCATTTCAAAACTGTAATGAAATCTGATTTCTTAGATAATAACCTAGAGAATATTAGATTCTATCATGACGCACACAGCTTATCTCAATGACGCTCACTGAAGGCTGACTATAACATTAAACACGGGTGCTTTAAGTGCACAGTAGTTGTGTCGTACTTCAACTGTTCTCACAGCCAGCTGATGTACAATCAAACCATTCAGATAGGCACCTAGATACCCCAGTATCAACAACCTCGGGTTTTCTTGGTTATTTCTGTAATTGTTTTTACCAAATACTCAAACTCACTTAGACGATACCTGTACTCTTCCAGAAAAGAAAAAAAAAATATCAGACCCAGTACACTTAAATATATCACTCTTACAGGAAGTGCTATCAATACAGTCTTTGCAACTAGCCCCAAGTGTATATTTAAGGATTCTTTTAAAAATTGTTTTGATGTTGATCTGTATAATTCAGATGCCATACAACAGTTGTCTGATGATGACCAGCATTGTGCTTTATGTGAAAGCAGAAATCTCAAATTATAAAGCTTCTAGGACTTATGGGAGATGAAACTAGGGTGGTCCACAAAAAAAAAGCCCAACCAAAATCCATGATGAAATCCACAATGTTGGAATTTTAACAGGCAAGAGTGGTCCAGACTAGAAGAAAAGCCCAAACCACCAGTAGAAGAATGAAATATGATATGGTCCAAGATGTATCCTTAAAGGTTTGTCTCAACCCTCAGCCATATTGTGAGGATTGATCTTCAGTTCAGTCCAGCCAGCAGAAATTGACTGTGCAATTTTCCATTTCAGGTATTTGTACAGACTATGTACACTCTAGAAGGGTCCTTTAGTGCTACACTGTCGTACTTTTTGTCCCAGCAATTTGAGGGCGTGCAAATTCCACAAAGTCATCAATAAGAACTGGCCATGCCCCTAAAAGGAAAAAAAAAAAAAAAAAAAAAAAGAGACCAGAATGTAAGAACTCAGTTCAACAAGGCATTCTTTTTAAAGCTTCAAATCTAAACAAGTTATTTACTGTCCAGTCTTAACTAGGCATAGTTTCAAGCAAAAAAACCACACCTGTAATTTGATTTTCTTACTTGAAATTTAAGAGCTGGTTAAAGATTTCTACTTCTTTTAAACCCAGTTAATACACATCCCTTTCCTACTTCCTTCATCTTCCTGACCAAAAAAAGAAGAAAAGAAAACACCTGACAAAAATCCTAGCTTAAAAAACTGTCGTGGTTTTGCCACCAGGACTTAATCTCCAGGATGGCAATAGCTACTTAAAAAACTGCACGTTGGACAAAGCAGTCTACACTGATCAGCAGCAACCTCTCTTAGCGTCCTACAGCCCTTACTGCTCACGGTTTGATTTTGCATTAACGCAACGCTCGACTGTTCGGATCGCCTTCCTCAGCCACCCCTGAAAACAACAGCAAAGCGCCCTCCAACAGCCCGCACCCCAGCAGGATGCCCTGGAGGGCTGGTGTTACACTGCCTGACTCTCCCGTGTTCCTTACCAAGGGGCACTGACAATGCCTAGCAATATTTACATGTCACCAGCAGCCATGTCCAAAGGGGTCCCCAGTCATGTGAAGGTTAAAAATAATTGTGGGCTTGTTTGGGGTTTTCTCCCCCCCCTTACAATATTTGTATTCCAAATCATTAAAACATGTCTGCCTCTAATCTTTCTAACCTACATGGATTTATTGTGGGCTGCAGCCCATCTGCTCAATGATAAGGGAACAGGAACTGTCCATAAGTATTAAACAAATTTGTAGAAGTTTGCTCCCCTCTGCGCTGGAAGTAGCAGAAGTGTACAGTTTCCTCCACTCACTGAACTGATCTGCCGCCAAAGACTGAAGGGAATTAGCTGTTCCTGGCTACAGAGGGACTGGAAGAGGAAAGATCAATACAAAAGTTTACAAAACACATGTTCGGTAGGATATAACTTCTGTTTAGCAATCCCTGCATGCTGCCAGCTTCACTTTCACATTACTACGTGTCCAGTCTTCACAAAAACTGAAGCAACCAACTAAAAAAAATATCGTCAGTTAAGAAATGCAATAACCAGAGGACCCTGTGAAGAAACGCACAGGCCACGAATCAGTTACTTCATTGAAGATGCCAAGAACTGCGCTGACAGAGAATCTGTGGTTTTTAAATGGACAAGTATCAGGGTTTGTCTCAGTAAGAAAAAATTAGTATTTGAGCTCAGATGGAAGAAAAAAGAAAATGGATTCAAGAAAGTTTCAGCATTTAGTTTTTAAAACTGCAGTAACAGATGATAACGACACGCACTAAAGTAGCTCCAGCTGAACTTCAGATCCCAGTGATACTCTCACCATGCTGTTATTAGAGAGCTGTGCCAAAGCAGATATACAGTAACAAATGTAGCATAAAACACAGTTAGAAGTTAATGAAAGAAAATGGAAATGTTTACCTTCCTCATCATAGTTAGACATATCATCTGCTATCATTGTACTAAAGTCTAGAAGAAGGTTCCAGGTATCCTTAGGAATTGATCTTTTATGATGTTCCTGTTTGGAGGGGTGGAAAATTTATGTTTAAAAAAATAATTTCAAAACCCTTATACACATTTTTACTGTCTTGGACACATCCATATCCCCAAAATGTATTTCTCTTACACACACTATGAAGTGCAGTATCTGGGATCTGGGTCAAAATAGTCTATTTCATGTACTCAATTTAAACATTTATCCTCCAAGTTTTGAAAATACTGCAGTCCAGTTTATGTAAAGATTTAAACTTACCAACAAAAATTTGTTCCACAAGTCTAGAAATTTAAATCTTCCATTAAGTACTAAATTCCAGTAGGCAATGGCCATTTCTAAATCTGTAATATTAAAATACATTACTTTTAGAGATACACATTTCAAATATATCATCTCCACAGGTATCCAACACTAAGATGAACCACGTATTCACAAAGGTGAAAAGATTAATCTAATGCAAATATACTCGTGGATCCTTCACAAAAAGGCAGTCATTCATAAAGCGTTACACAACTATTTTACAGATTTCGATAATATCAGTCGAGTACAGAAGAACTGAAAATTACCCATATTAATAATTAAAATTTCCTTGTGTGTTTTGGATATTTCATAGGCCTACCTAACAATACTTTCGTTAAAATTCAGTGAAACATTTGTCTTAGAAAAGCTATTGACTTGAAAAGAAAATCAGTCATATTTTGTAGTAAGATCTGTTTTAAATTTTTTTAATATATAAAATACAATTTACGTTAAACTAGCTTTTTAGGATTTCATTTTTAGAGCAACCTTGTTACAGGTACTGGCTTTTGTCAAGTGTTCATTTCTACAATCAGGTTTCCTTTTGAAAAAAAAATAAAATTAAGTACTGCACAAGCAGATGGTTTGTTAGTTGGTGGTATTTTTTTGGTTGGGTTGGGTTTGGGGTGGGGTTTTTTGGTGAGTTTTTTTGGGTGTGTGGGTTTTTCTTTTCCCTTTTCTTTTTCTCCAAAGACTCCTGTTAAGCTCTTGCTTGTTTTGAATCTGTTTCTCAGGACGACTGAGAAACCTGAACTGACACAGTTGAGGAACGAGAACAACCTACTGCCTGTCAGCCCTGGGTGCTGGTACCGCATCGCAGGGAGAAAGAGACTGGTTAGTCTAGCACGTAAGGAAAAAAAAATCCTCACCTCCCTGGTATTTGCCAGCGGCTAAACTGACCTGCATTTACTGTTTATTAGTTGTTAGCTGATAAAAGGAAGTTACGCATCCGAGTTCTAAACCTGTCCCTAGCTGAGCTCCTGGGCCGGGGCTCAGCCAGGACCGCTGTGCGGTTTAACTGTGCTACTAACTCTGGCCTGACTGAATTCACTATCCATGGCCAAGTGCGGGCAGGAACCCCAAAAGGCTACCGAGTTAAGTGACCTCTTTTTTTAACAAAAGCTCTTATAAACGTCCTCCATAAACAATCCTCTTGAGAGCACACAGAGAAGAGGCACATGATCAACTGCCTCTCAGGAGAAAAAAAAAAAAACAAAAAAACACTAACAAAATACCCCAACAACCCAAGTAACCCACTTCTTTCCCCCAGATGCCCAAACTATTTAAAAACCACCAGAGGTGGTTCTTAGAGGTAAAATCAAACGCAAACAAAACAGCGTGACCTCCACATTGCTGGAGGGAAAATAGATGGTGATGGGGGGAGTTTCTGAATTGTTTAGTATCTTTGATATTGAAAGTTCTTCTGGAACTGTATATTCACATTATAATGCTTCCTGACCAAAGTAAAGGATAAAATTTGTGGAAGGTATTCCAGCAGCTGCAAAGGGGTGTGATTTCACGATGAGTTTTGAGAAGCAGAGACAAACAGAAGTCACTACTCCTCAGTACATAAGTTGTATGTGAAAATGACAACTTAAAGAGTATAAAGGCTAGGTATCTCCTTAACAGAAGGTTCAGATACAAACATATGCACTTTCTAATAATTAATAGTCACAAACTTCACATTAAGCTGATCAGTTCCTCAAGGAAACAGATTAGAAAGCCAAGTTTTATTTACTCATAATGCATTAATAGCAACATACACAAAATGCAAGGCTACCAGATCCCTGCATATTTACAGTGGTTTATAAACAAACACTATAAACAAACGGTGCATTTCGACATTCTTATGCAATTGTGAGATTATTCCTGTGGGTAAGCAAAGGCCTTTAAAAAACAGATCTCAAGATGCTGCAACTTCAAACTCATTACCTGAGTCCAAGCATGTAAAGCATGAAGACATAATGCCTTAGGACAAACTGCAGGTTTTAAAAGAAATTTTATGAAATCACAAAATTGGAAAGTAAAGATGTAATTCTAGGCTCTCATAAGAAAGCGAAAGAATGCTCAGGAAGTCCTCATGGATCAAATATGAAAGTCTCAAAATATATGCTCCATTTTGACTTTTATCCAGAGGGATGCAAGAGAAGCAAGCAACGTTTGAGATGACCATCAGCTAAAAGGTATTTTCAAGTGATATGCAAGTATCACAAGAACTTTTAAGACATCCACAGTACTTACACAGTAATAAGGAATTATGCAGAGGAAATGTGTTTCCAGATGCCTGAACTACTACACAATGTTTAGAAGATTAGAGACCAATATACATTAAAATCAGTTTGCAGGTTCCTACAAGCAGTTATTTAGACACTCCAAAATTAATTGCTTAACTAGGAGCACTTACTTTCCCGCACTGTACTTCTCCCAGTGTGCTTTTCCTTGAGGGTTTCCAGAATTATCCTGCCCCATTGTAAATTCATGCCTAGAACTGCGTATTTATTGGCACCAAAAGGGCTGGTAAATATCCAGATTTTAAGCTCAGTTCTACATCACTTACAGACCCACACTTAAAAACAAAACAAAAGAAAAAACAAACCCCACAACCCTTACACTACGTATCTGCTACATGGATCTGAGAAAGCTGTACTTGTCTTTGGCACTGTTAGAGCTTAACCTGCATAAAAAAGCTTTAGGATGAATGAGAAATAAAGCAAGGGACTTTTAGATTTCCTGGTTAGTAATTTTTACTGAAGTCTCTTCCATCTGGGATACTCAAAAGATTCATTTCTATACAGGACTGGGGGGATGGATTCAGAAAAAGAATTCAAGTCTTCCTTATATCTTCGAAATATGAAGAAGAAAATAAGAGGCAAGTACTACATCAAACAGTTCTGTTATTCTGAAGCTTTGAGAAAATTAATTAAAAATTATCGTGCAATTACAATATCATTGTAATTTGTCATTTCACTTTTACCACCTTACAGGGATTCTGCAAAATACTCCTTGTTGTGAAAGCTGTTTAAAGATTACAAACAACATACAAATGTTACAATGGTAACCATAAAAAAACCAAACAAACAAACAACTAAACCCTGCAGCTCTTGACACTGCAGAACTGATTCCACACGGACACTCTCCATAACCTAACTTCTGTCTCCTCACAGTTTGGTTGCTGTCCACATTTTCCCTGTTGTAGCAGCCTAAAAAAATAATACAACTTTCTACAAGAAATAAGAATTAGCCTATCCATTTATTTGCAGGATTCAGGTCTGACTACTTGCATGCACAAGTATTTTCAAACAGTCTAGCAGAGCTCTTTTAGCTTCTCCAAAGACAAGGAAACTCACAATCCAACAGAAAACAAGAAACAGGATACAGGAAGATGTTAAAGAATGACAGAGTCAAAACTAAGACATGGAGCTTTTGCTTATTTACTTATTTTTCAATATTCATTTTAAGCCAGAAGTTGACCCACTTATAAGAGATAACCAAACCAAAGCAGAATGCTCATCTTTTCACAGCGCAGGAAGGCAAAGGTGGTCAGTGGCAGTCAGCTTAAGGCACTCCATTACGGAGACAAATAAATTCACAAGCTGCCAAGAAAGAACCTACTGGCCTTTCAGTATTTCTTCTCAAAAGCAGAAGTTAACAGTCATTAAATACTAGTTATGGCTAATATCTCAACTACACTGTATACAAACGAATGTGCTTCTAACAGTACTGCTTGGAGGAAGTTTTTGTTCCCTCATTTTTACTGTTTTAACTAGACAGATCTACAGTTTGTTCATTTAGTTCCATCAGATCTGTGGTGTTCTGTCACTATTTTTAATAAGTGATTCTTCCACTTCACTAATCAAAAGCACAATCAGCAGAAGAGCTCTGAAATAATGAAAAAACCCAACCCATTCAGTGAGCAGAGAAAAAAAAAAAGGCTTTAGATAGGTACCTATTACCAACAGGCACCAAGCCCAGGATACAGAAATCTATTTGTGCTATTCTAATTCTATTTTGTCTAGACATTTGCAAGCATTTTTTGTGTTACAAGAGATTGACAAGTGTACTTAACATGGAAATCAGTTTTAAAGCTTTATTTTCTTCTAAAACTGAAAATTCAAATAGTCTGTTCAGCACTGCAAATTGTAAGTGGTACAGTTATGCCTTCAACGTAAGGCCATAATCCACTGTACTGCCTGGAAATTGCACGCACTCTTAGTGAAAGAATAAACCCTCTCTCATGAAATTTTGTAGTCTATATTAATGATGCAGATACTTCTATCAATTTGAACAGCTTAAATTGACATCTATCTTTCACAACAGAGGTGTATTTTATCCCAAGGGTGTTATCTTTCAGCCTCATTGGATCACAATAACACTTTCACTTACTGCTTTGTCATTTCCCATATTTATGAACAAACATTTACAATTAAGAATACATACCTAAACCTTTCTGTCCCGGATTCTTTGCAAAGTTGAAAGTAAACTGATAAAAATCCTTAAATCTTCCTGGCTCTTTTAATTCTTGTTCCATTTTAGGAATCTGGGCCTTCAGTTTTTCTATGCTGTCACACCTGCATTTTAAAAAGCATGTTTATTTGTGTATTATTCATTTTGCCATAAAATATGAGTTATAACTTAAATAAAAATTTCTAAGATTTTTGCAGAATACAATACAGTTATCAAAACAAAATTCTAGCAGCCTTTAATCAGTCCGCACCTACACAACAATTTAGTTTCTTTGTTGTTATTTCTTCGCATTGCCATCTGCACATACTAGTGATACATCAGATCTATAATCCATAAGATTTTTAGAAAAATGTGATAAAGACTACTACATTCTCATAAGGCAGAGAAAACCCAGGTAGGCCAAGCTACAGACCAACATCCTTGCTTTACCTACCTGAGTAGCTCTATGGCAACTAACTGAAATACACAATCAAGGCAAGCAGCACTCAAAGCTGTCTCTCCTTGTTTTAGCCACTAAGCATCTAGCACGTGGACAGCAGACAAGCGATGCTAGACTTCGAAAAGTCTCTGAAGTCTGAAAGGACAATGTGATTGTGAATTCCCCAAAACAGGGCTGCTTCACCCAACATTCCAGTTTCTGACACTGGATTACACGGTCAGTGCCTAATACTGCACACTTACCCTAGCTCAGTCATTCCGTCCATGAATTCCAGCTTTGAAAATTCACACTGTGTTGCAGCTCGGAATTTCCATGCAATGATGAGTACAGTAATGCTGGCTGGGTCAAGAGCTAGATCATCACAGAACTGCTGTATACCATCTATACCAATTTTATTTTCATCTTGAGGATCTTTGGGATATAAAAGTAAGTATCAAGAAAAACACATTTTTGAAAAAGCTTATTTAGTCAATACGTATATTTAAGATAAGCAAACATTTTCAAGAAGCCATGTCTGGGTTCAGCCCTTATAAGGCAATATTTTAAAAACAAAATTAAATTAGTATTTTCAGTGGTTAAGCTTTAACAATTGTGGCAGTGACTACAATAGAGCCTTCCATACAATGAAGCTTACGTTATTTTCATTGAGACACAAAAGCACCACAAACATTTGGGTTTTGCCTAATAATATGCATAATATTCTGACTCATTCCACACAGAGAACAGTGGCCCTTTCCCACCAGCACACTTAATTATTGGCATCTTTGGTAAGACTGCCGGTCTGTGTGCCATTACAAACAATTCTGCAGTGTCCATTTGCAAGCTGTACTGATACAAGGAACAAGTCTGCCCATAAACTACGAAGTCAACACTAGGTTTATGCGTTTTCTGGCATCACCAGCATGCACAAGATTGGACATGGTAACCTCCAAGAGGAAAGTTACGTTGCCCCATTACCCATTCCAAGTCAGCCAGGCACACTCCTCTTTCCCCGAAGGAATCAACATCTGGTCTGGAAGCAAGATGCTCACATTTCAAGTGCACTAACAAAGATCTACTAACATAAGCCAACAAAGACTTCAGGAAAATGGTATTTGAATTATGCATGCATATGAAAACTGACAGAAAATGTAGCACTCATTTTTAGATTTTTTTAAGTGCTAAACCACAGAATTTGTTCTACTGTACTGACTCCACTTTACTATTTGTGGTAGAATATCATTGGTTGAATCCTGGCTATATAACAGAGAGAGATTTAGTTACAAGTGGAGCGGAAAAGAAAACAATCTGATAATAAGTACAAGGTCAATAAAAATTAAACTAGAATCCATCCTTGGCATGCAACCTTTCCCTTTGTCAGAAGCAAGTCCCAAGTGATGTGCCTTCCCCAGAAGAACCACCTAAAACGTTAACCATTACAGTTACTCACTGTACCCACAATTCCAGTTCCACACCCTAATCTTGTATAAATGTACGTATATTCAGAGTACCTAAAGCAGACACATGTAACCCTTGTGAAGCAGAAGCCTACATATACTGCCCTTCTAACTTACATCAATAGCAATGGGAAACCAAAGCTGGAAGGGCTGGTAAGATTTCCAAGCACAGCACAGTAGCAATGACACGTGTAATGAAGAATACACACATGCAGCTAGGAAATGAGCCTTAGAATTCAGGGTACTCACCTTTGTATCTGTTATATAGTTGTTCTAACTTCTTTCTGTCCAGTGATCCCTTAACGCTCTCTCGTATATAAAGTTCTGGATTTTGGAAAAAATTGTCTGTTGCAACATCTAACTTCCAGTCATTTTGAGACAGACAACTCACTGCTGTCTTTTCACTAGATTGCGTGAAGACCATGAACTGACGCACTTTATCCTTCTGTGACGATTTCAACTTGTTCTAGTTAAAAACAGACAATACTGTAACTAGAAATGTTTTACTGGACAAAACAGAACAAAAACATCAGTACTGTTAATTTTTTTTAAATCAATCCTTTTATAATTTTCCCCAAGCAATTAGACTTCCTCTAACTGACGGGGCAGTTAGACACTCCAACCGACATTTATTTTCTGGTTGAGGTTTTTTTTGTTTGTTTTTTAAATTTAAACTTACCTTCATCCTAAGTACTTTACATTGTAACAAAACTGAACCATCACAAAAACCAGGCTGGCAAAGCAACGATAGAAACAAAAAATGGGTATTCTTATTGCTTATTTGGAGAGAGGGCTGAAGGGCACAGCAAATTCATACACAGCTGTAAGCTGGGACACCTTTCCGTTTAAACCAATTTTTGGTTTTTTAAAAAGAAAAGGAACATTCTGCTCTTAATAGAAGAATGCTACACCTACCAAAGAAGGCAAATTGAGATGTCTAAATAAAGCCCATGGCTATCAAAATATATGATAGACTTAATTGCCTCAACAGATAGCTTGCCAGCCCTGACTGAGAGGCTGGCACTCATCTAGTCCCAGCTGACCGAACTAACAAGCACCAGCTAGTGCAGGCCGAGGGGCGAGACCACTCTGCCGGGAACAGGAGCTCTTGGTGCCTCTTGATGGCAGCAAGGCACTAGGCTGGGTCATCCATTTCAGGGAGCTACACGCTGAAAGAGCTTAAAAGACTTTTTTTTTTTTTTTTTTTTTAAGATATTTTTCCACTTTGAAGGTGCTCAACTCCACCTACATAATTTGCAAAACATTCCTGTGAGGAGGCATTGTCTCCATTTCACAGGTGCAGCAACTGAAGCTAAAAAAAAGGGTAAGTAATTTTGCCAGAGGCGGGCGGGGGAGTCAGTAGCCAAGGTGAGAGCTCTGGAATTTCAGGCCTCCTGCCCAGACCAAGAGACATCCCTCTGCTCTACTGCAAAACTGCATGGAGAACTTGCTGCCCGTAATTTATCAGCACAGAGGGATTCCCAAGGACATTTTTCATGAGGAGAAGCACACTCAGTATTTCAAGGGTATTAGTTACACAAAACTAACTGCTGATGAGGAGAAAGCAATCATACAGCTCTTGCACTAAATCCAAATTCAGTTCTAAAGTTCACTCAGTATATGCAAAGCAAGAAGACTCCTAAAGTTACAACTTGGTAAATAAAAGTTCTGACTTTTATCAGGATTGGATTTCTTACAGGGCACAAATATTTCATTTGTCATTTACCCTGCATTCTAACCAAAACTTGTATATTCTGGTCATTATTGTAAGTTTCAAGTGCATGACTCCTTCTCACGCAGTACAGGGAAAAGGGCCAAAAAAATTCTCTAGACATGATAAATTATCCTCAGCCAAAGAACGAATGGTTTAGGAGCAGTGTGAGCTCAAGCTCTTCATTCCAAAGGATAATTAGTGTCCAATCACATTATCATTAGGAAAAAAAAAAAAAAACAAAAAAACAAAAACACTAACACTTCAGAACACAAATTCATCTTCCCTAAAGGTCAAAATCAGTTTTCTGCTGTTTGATGACAGTGAAGGTGAACACTATTATTCGTAAGACTGGTTAAGTTACCAGCTTCAGTTATACCTTTAAAAAAAAACAAATACAAGAGCATACATTTGGCTTAAACTGATAATGCACAGAATACACTAATCAGACCAACACCTTTTCATTTAAAATCCCTTTAATAAATAAAAAAGAATAAAAAACCCACCAAAAAAACCCCAAACCAACCCTGTTTCTACAACATTTAGCTGAAGTGAAAAATCTTAGCACACACTGTAGACTTCAATGCAGTGATATTAGTTAGGCTACACTACTTATAAAGTTACAATGTCTTGCTGCTTTATTTCAGTCTTTTGAGTCAGTTTCTGACACTGGACCTTTTGCTATAAACATGTTTCTGAAACTCCGATTTTCAGAAGTGGTCCCAGGTAAAGGTCAAGCCATCAGAGCAGGTCCTGCACAGACCCACTGCTGATAAGCTGTGCATGCTTTGAGTTTCACGGCAGACATGCCACACCGTACAACATTGAGCTCAAACTTCCACAAAAATCACTTACACTGACAAAGCCATGTGGAGCGACTTCCAGAAATTACTAATGGACTTTTAGTTGCAGTCCTTAAAAATGCATTGTAAACTGAGATATATCAAAACAAATCACTGAATGACACCCCAAATGAAGACTAAACAACCCCAAGGCTAACTTTCCATATCAATTACCAGCTTCCTCAAATCAGTTCCCCACAGCCAGACTGCTGCATCACCACAGACTCAGCGGCACTATAGGGCAGTCACACTTGTGACCTTAGCACCCTTTTTCTTTTTTTGACAAAGGTGGTGCCTTTAATCGTTGGTTTGTGTTTTGGTTTTTTGGGTGGTCTTTTTTTTTTTCCTTAACATGTACGCATAAGTATGCATAGCCGTTTTAATAGTGAGTATTCTGTAAAACCTCAAGAGGCTTTGTTCTGCCCTACTCCTGCAAGGGTAAACTCTAAAAGCAATGACATACAAAAAAAAAGTCAAGGAACAGGTTTAAAAGGGCTTCACCGTGGATACCCAAGACCACAAAAGGCAGTGTGTTTTGCATGTTGTCACATAAAAGGAGAATGCAATTTATTAGACAAAAAATTGTCCCTTAAATCACTTCTATGATAAAATTTAAATCCTATATAAGCATATGAGACCTTCCTCTGCTTGGGGCTCCCTAAGTGATAATAACAATATAAAACCTTTTAAAAAGAACATTGAGTCTGCCAAGAGTCAAGCAGCTTATAACACTAATCGGTATACCATTCGGTCATATATTAAGATGCAATAAATCACACTGTTCAGCCATAATCTTTTTCTGGTCAAGTTACTGGTCAAATACGAGTTTATTTTTAGTGAAGAAGTGCCAAAGCCCTTCCTTTCTATTTGATGAATGTTTCCACAGAAGCTTGCCAATGTGGACGAGACACTCCACATCCTAAGTGACTGGACAACTCTTTGAAGGCCTATTACAGGACAGCAAGAGATGAAATTACTGCTGAGTTTTTATTATCCTATTATAGCTCTTCTTTCATCACATTAAAACCCCACACTTCAAGCAGGAACAGGTTCCAAGCCTTCTGCACTTTTAAGGGCTATTTCTAGAAGCCAAGCTCTAACAGTCTGTTTAAAGTGTGCAATACAGAAGCCAGAGTACGCTATAACTTTTAATCCTGTAGTCATCAGGCATCAAACACCTTACACTGCAACTGTATGTACTGTAATGTAATGCCATCCATTTAAAATCTCAACTATAACACTAGTTAAAAACGAAGATAGGATTTTATTTAACAGATATGTCTTGCTAAAATATACAAGTGAAAACCAACGGAAAACAAATGCAACAAATTTTCTAGTAAGTCTTACCCCTTGGGGTAAGAGGAAAAAGGAAAATTCAGATCTGCAAGCCTTTGATCAAGTTTGCGTGGTATCTAAGTTACCTTTCATAATGAGGATGACATAAGAGACAGAAGGTGAATTTACTTTGAAAACACAGAATAACTTCTCCAAAAGAAACACTACATTATGTAGATTCATAAAACTACAATAATTACAACATTCTAATGAACAGCTGATGCTGTAACATTGATTTTAAAATTAAAATTTGCCTCTCCCCACAAAGTATCAAATTTGTTAATTCTAATTCAATAACTCATCCTTGATCAGATACTTCAGTGAAGTTATGGGGTTTTTGTCCTGGACTCTGACTGAAACTCCCCCCATCCAGAGGAGTAAGCTTTCCCAGTCTAGGAAAAAAAAATAAAAATGCTAGAACTGATCTATCAACTCTGACTACATGGTCGTTTTTCCTTGTCTTCTTCACTCACGTTTTTAGTCACCTCAGATTAAAAGATCAGTGGTCACCAACGTTTTCCGGATAGCTAATAGCCATGCGAGGGCTCCACTCTCCTGGGTAACGTCCATGGGAAACAGCAACAGCCTTCCTCTCACACTGCATGGACTAGAGGTGAGGATTCGTACCGAAACCCTGTTCTTGGACTTTGCTCAAAGCTTATAAGCAGCCACCAGCTAGACAAGGAGCGCACCATCAGTTTGAAGTATCACTGTCCAAAACTCCTTATGTCCCCCAAAGGCGGCACTCACACAGTTACTCCTTAATGAGTAACTGCTTTTCACCTTTCCCTTCCCAGCCACTGCTCACAGATGATCTGGTTCCTGCTACTTTCACTGCTAACGAAAGCAGTCTGAATGATGTGACATCTGTGCTTTTGTTTCAGCCAGCGCTCAAAGAAAAGCCCGTTAAGTTCTCGTGCACGTGGCAGGTAAAGCCTTTTCTAAAGCAGCTATCAACCTCCACAAAGTCTAGGCTTTTGTACTAGCTGCACTTAAACTTTAGCAAGAGATCTGGCTGCGAGAAGCACCCTTGCACTTTTAAAGGACCCCACTGACCTCAGTTCAGAGTAACCTCAGCCCGCATACACAAGAACGGGCTTGTGCCTGTAATAACCTTACAGATCACAACTGTCACTTCTGTCGCGACACTAATGGTCGAGAGAGCATTGCTCCCTGACAGCGTCTGAATCATTCCACGTTGTACATTCCTTTAACAGGTACAGCCCAAGACACCTGTAAATAACCTGGTTTACTGCTTGTATTCCACAAATACATGGCTAAAGCTTAAAAGGCATTTTTCTTTGTTTGATAAGAAAACACAAGTTAATAACAACAGAAGTCTATGAATACACTGAATTACACTTTAATCCACCAACTGTGACGGCATACACATATCCTACCAAAAGACCCATCAAATTCAAGTTAAAGACAGAAACAATCAAAGTAAACAGCCATAGTTTCTGTATAATGTAAACAAACACACCCTTCAACTACGTTTTATTTTCTACAGCAGTTTCTTGAAAAGACAGCACACTAAGATTGTCAGGAGATTTTTTTAAGCTTCTGTTTCAA